CCTGAGCTACACAGTGAGACCCTGTCCCAAATAACATCAGCCTCAAGGATACAAAGAGACAGTCACAAATGGTATAACAATGAACTAGAACTATTACAGTCGGGAGGACAGCCAAGCTTGGGCATGTTCAGGGTGGGTACGGCTACACAATGGCTTCATTCAAGGAATGGTAACATGTTCGGTGTTAAAATGTTAACAGATGTGTAATAAAGCAGCATTCTGAAGAGATATCATGGAAACATTTACAGATGCGACAATATGATGTGTGGGGTTGACTTTAAGATAAATGTGGGTTGAGGCAAGTAGCTAGCATATAGGAAACTCCACTACTCATAAGCTGGTGATGGGCCCTGGGGCCATGGGGGCTCACGACATGATTCTCTCTATGGTACAGCTTTAAAATTTCCATCATAAAAAGCTAACAAATAAGCGAGCAGTTATTTAGTAACAGAGCCTTGGTAGCCAATGAACTCCAAGTTCGCCCCCAGCTCTCAGCTCCAGTCAAATTCAGGGCACTGGCCCCTAAGCTCATGTGTCACCATGACAAATAAACTTTGGCTGCTGCCATTTTTAAAAAAACTATTTTTATTTCAGGTGCACTGGTGTTTTGTCTGTATGTGTGGGGTTCCCTGGAACTGGAGTTATAGTTTTGAGCTGCCATAGGGGTGCTGGGAAATGAACCCAGGTCCTCTGGAAGAGCAGACAGTGCTCTCAACCGCTGAGCCATCTCTCCAGCTCCGGCTGCTGCCATTCTGACAACGTGTTCAGGCCATGCAAATGCTTTATTTTATCTAATTATTATTTATCATCTTAGTTCTTCATTTGAAAAGTTCCTGCCTCTTTTCTGTGCTAAACCCATCTCTGTATCTTTCTCTAGAATGGGGTTTCCTGGCTTCAACTCATCAGGATTTCACACACACAAATGAGGGGTGCCAAGGCTGTACCCCTCATTTTATTAGTAATCTCAACATTTCAGGGTGGGCCTTTCAAGTGTTTCCTAGTATGTTTACATAAAATAAAGAAGACTGAATGTTGAGCATTTATCTAGTTCAGGAGAGTTAGATAAAGGTCAGGGTCAGCACAGAGCGCTGATGCTACGGAGGCGAACAGGACCCGAGACCTGATGAGAAGTCAGCCGTTCACACGATACATCATGGGCTTAGCAGGCTTATACTCATGCTTCAGAAAAATGTACACGTAAACACGGTCAAAATGCCGGTACCTAGTGTTAATCCTCACCTAATGTTGCTGAGCTCAGGCCTCAGCCTCCTCCCACCTCTCACATCTTAAGAAATCTAACACGGCACTTTACAAATGGAGGAGTCTAGACCCCAAGGAGTTAAAGAACAATTTCCTCCATCAGTTTTGTATCTCAGTCACATGGTAGAAACCCACCGTCTGTACCACCAAAGACACTGGATCCATATGCCCATCAAAAGGTACCAGTTTTAGAGAAAGCTGGACTGAATGGTCACCCTGGTTTCCCAATACTGCTTAAGGAAACTGAAAACAGTGAGACCACTTTATGGACAGGCCCTCCCAAATGCCACAATTCAGTAGCCATCAGGACAGTTTTTGACCTGTGTAGAAGAGTCTCTGTATTCTTCTTTTTTGAGACAGGGTTTTCCTGTGTAGCCCTGGCTGTCCTGGAACTTGCTCTGTAGTCCAGGGTGGCCTCGAACTCACAGAGATCTGCCTGTCTCTGCTTCCCGAGTGCTGGGGCTAAAGGCGTGTGCCACCACTGCCTGGCTGGACTCTGACTTCCTTAGATGCTAACATATTTGTCAACAAATTTATTCATAAATAAAATGAGGGTGGTAAGTGATGAAGGTGATATTAGGTTTGCTTTCCTTATTTGAAAAAATTTGAAAATTTGGGTGAGCTAGTATTGGACTTCCTGGTTTGTTGGTGTTTTGCTCTGTTTTGTTTTTTTCACTGCCCTCACTGAGATGCCCAAGGAAACAGTACACAAATAATTGTTCAGAGTGAACAACTCGGGGCTACTGGTTGGTAGCCTCTATCTCTTTTACTGGAGAGAGGAGGGAAAAGGATAACTGATCACATATGTAACAAGGACCCTGTGTACAAGCTGAGGGGCACCATGGAGGCCCAACAGTGAGCAAGGACCAGGGAGATGACTCAAGGCTGGCCTCACCAACTAATATCTTCAGCATTCAATCACTTCTAAGGTGACTCTAAAGCAGACTCAGGCAGAGAAAAGCAAGATGGAGGCTGAAGTACATTCAGAGAAAACCCGAACGCAAAAATCTGTGAACTACAGAAGACCAAAAGATTGTATTTAAATCAGCGTGGTTATTTAGCAGACAGGTGTAACCACAGGAAACTCAAATGTGAAGAACCAGGAACTCTCTTCTTAGAGCTGGGGAAAGCTTTAGTAACCAAAGCTGGCTCAGATCACGTGGGAGTGGCAAAATGATTTGGAGATCCTGGGAAACACTTCCAATCTGATCAACAAAAGTTATGTTCAACAAAAGTTATGTACAGCCGGGAACAATTGCTGACGATTGTAATCCTGGCACTCAGGGCAGCAGGCAATCTCAATGAGTTCGAGGCCAGGCTGGTTTACAAAAAAAAAAAAAAAAAAAAGGCATATATAGATTTGGGAACAGTGGAAGTTGCCAGAGCTGGTTCTTCCTGAGACAAGAGAAAAGAGGCCTGGTGCTTATTAATGCTCCCCAAACAGGAAGTCCTGAGGGGAAGGGCAGGCTGCTGTTCAAAGGTGAGAACACAGAGAAAGCTGTGGTGAGGAACACAGGGCCAGACAAGAGAAGCTGGAAATGAAGCTCTCCAGGAAACACAGTGAACTGCCTCCGGCATTGCTAACATGTTCTGCCAAAGGGCACAGCTGGGACCCAAGGGTCTGTGTGTCCCTCACTCTCCACTGCTCCGGTTCTCCTTCACAGGCTAACCTCAACAAGAAGCCTCCTGCCTCTCCAGGCATTATCTCAGGCTCAGAGTCTTTCCTATTTCCTAGTGAGGGACTAGGAGCCAGCCAGATCCCTGACAGGTAGACAGGGATAAAAAGGCAAACTTCCAGCTTCTTCCTCACCCTCCTAACCCAACAAAAAGGCCTGACAGGTATTATCTCCCACCAACATTCACCCCTTCTGGCTAAGGCTGGTCCTGAACACGCTTATCTGAAGCTGTGGGCCTATCAGCTCCCCTTTCTTTGTGTACCTTAACCAATCCAACATAAGGGGAAGAGGCCCCATCCCAGGCCCAGAAACACAGCTCCCAGCCCTGGGGTAGGGGGTGTTGAGGCGTCGTCAGAATGCCCTCTCTACGCTTCGTGAGCCTTCTTTCTGTGCGCTGGTGTGTGTGTGTGACATGCATGTGCTAATCCGCTTTTAATAAAGTTTGCTGCCTATTGCTGCCTGCTGCATCTGAGATTCTTCCCCCTGCCTTTTAATTCTCTAATTGGTGGAGAAAAGGAGCCAGACCAAGACTCTTAGGTGGTAGAGTAGGACAAAGAGAAGAAAAACATTTGTCTCCGAAACTCCTGCAAAATGCTTGAAGATGCCCGTGCAGAGCTGCTGCTTAGACAGGAGAGCTTCCCAGCACCCTCCAGGGCAGAAAGCAGGAGCTAAGATAGATGGCCTTCATAAAGGAGGATGAAAGCTTGTCTCATCTCGCCAAGAAAAAAAAAAAAAAAAGAAGTGGAAAAAAGCCTGGTTTCAAACAGTTCGCACAGCGCGTGTCGCCATGTACGTAAGAAGGGTGTGGCGTGGCGTATATGGCAGATGCCCAGGGCAGAGCTCAGCTCTGGAGGGTGAAGAAATTAGTAACACTGGCTGGTTGTCTCTAAAGACTAAAAGCAAGGTGGAGGGATCAGGACAGAGGTGCATGTACTTCCTAATCTTTGCACTTTTCAAATGTCCTCTCTCAACAGTAAATGTGTAACTGACCCCCCTCCCCCCACCAAGACAGAGTCTCACACGTTGTAAACCAGGCTGACCTGGAACTCACTGTGTAGCCAAGGCCAATGCTGGACTCAACGGCAACCCTCCCACCCCAACCTCCCAAATGCTGAAATGACTGATGTGAGCCACCACACTTGCCTTTGTATTTATTACCCACTTTAAAACAAAACAAAACAAAAAAACCACCCAACTAGCCAGAATGGCAGTTTCCAAGAGTGACATTTCTCATGTAGATTCACTATTTTGTACTTTTCAGTGGCCAGAAAAGTGGCTCAGCAGATAAAGGTGGCCATCGAAAAGCCTGGCAACCTGTGTTGGATTCTAGGATCCCATAGGGTGGAAGGGAGAGAGCAAAACCCTGAAGCTATCTAACCACTACATGCTCACGATGGCAGGAGCCCACTCACATACATAAATACAAACACAGTAAATAACTGTACAAGCTAAAAAACAAAACAAAACAATAGCAACAAAAACCACGCCGGTCATGGTGGCTCACACCTTTAACCACAGCATTCTGGAGGCAGAAGCAGACGGATCTCTGTGTGTTTGAGGTCAGCGTGATCTACCTAGCAAGTTTCAGGTGAGTAAGAGCTATAGAGAGAGACCTTGTCTCAGAAAACCAAACCAAACCAAACACCAAAATCTGAATTAAGAGCACTGTATTTTAAATTTTTAAATAAAAGCGATTTTAAAACAAACTAGCTTTGTGTAATAAGGCAGATAAGTGTAACTTGCTGGTCTGGTTAGCAGTGTTCCTGACATACACCAGGCGAAGAATCTGTTGAACTAACAAAGCTCTACTTGGCAGGGGATGTAGCTCCATTGACGGAACCTGGCCCTGGGTTCCAGCCTCGGCACCATGTAATAAAGTGGCACACTAATTCAAAGGCCTGTGATCCCACCACTCTCCAGAGACAGAAGCAAGGGTGAGCAGGCAAGGCCATCCTTTACGGTGGCCAGTTCCTGGCTAACCCAGGCTGCATTTAAAGAGAAAAGGCAGAACCTAGGCAAACCCATGCTACCGATGTTCAATGGATTCTCTAATCAATTCTTTACCTGACTGTTGCCTAATGATTATGAAAGAGAAGAAAATGGGTCTCTGTGTCACACATGCTTTGTCCAACTGGCCCAGAACACACACATGGATGTAACAGTGAGGTTCTTCATCAGCCTCCAACAGCCATTTTATAAGCTGAAAAGGTTTTATTCCCATACATGATGCCCTGGAACCAAGAAAGCAAAAATTAATCTGTAGAAACACGATCTTTAAAAGAAGACAGTGTGGTGGCTGGCTATGCCTGTAATCCCAACACTTGGGAGGAAGAGGCAGGAGGATTGAAAGATCAAGGTCATCGTTGGGGTACAGTGAGTTTGAGGCCAGTCTGGGCTACAGGAGACCTTGTCCCAAACCTAAACCCAAACCAGTGGTAATGGAAAATAAGTTCATGTATATTATCGATGCTCAACAGAAGCACAGGGACCTAAAATGGCTGTAATCACTGGGCATCAGGGCTGCATGCCTGAAATTCCAGGAGCTTGAGGTTGAGGCAGGAGGACCATGAGAAGCCAAGCCTGGACTGCCTATGTAGATGACCCTGTCTCAAACACCACCACCAAAGAGAGTGGTCAAAATACTGGGCCGTGAAAGGCGTTGGTATAGTCCTAACCACAATCAAGAGGTTCCCCAGCCCTTCCTGTGTTTGCTCCTGGGATAGCCAAGATGAAATAGAAAGGCTTAACAACACCTCATGTCCCGAGTCGTCATCAGCTCTTCAACTGGTCAGTGAGGGTTCAAATCCTATATCCAATAAAGCTCCCAATACTGTAGGTTATGCCCCTGGCAGAAATTCTGCCAGACGGGATTCCACTGTACTGGAAATGTCCATCTGCCAGGGGTTTTCACAGAACCACATTTAAGTGGGGGAAGAGGAGGGGAAGAATCATTTCCTCTGTCTGCGACAAGGCCAGAGGTTGTGCTATGCTCTAGGGCAGGAGCTGTGGGCCGAGGGTGGAACCTCTGTACTGTATAGTACAGGCTCTAGATGACTAGGGGAAAGGTGTAAATTTGGGGAAAAGGGAATGGCAGTGACTAGGAGTCCTTCTGTTAGAACGCCAAGGAAAAAAAACAACACCGCAAAGAAGAGAAAACCATTCTTTTAAAAGGGCTGGGTGCTAAAGACCCAAGGCAAAAGCCCCAAACTCAGGATCCTAGTCCTAGGTACCCATCAATGAAGATCAATCGCCTTTGGTGACACCTTGAGGAGGGGCAACCACAGGGGACCGGGGTTTCTGCAAACTTCAAAACAATAAACAAAGACACAAGGGTGGCAGGCATCTCTTCATTTACAGAAAATTGTTCCCACCACACACACACACACACACACACACACACACACACACACGCTCTCCACACACACACACACACACACTCTCTCTCTCTCTCTCAAAGGGCACTTTAATACAGGTGAATTCAACATCCCCTTGGAACCTAACTTCAAAAAGCATCAAAGGGGGATGAATGGAATGTCTCCTAAAATGAGAGGAGAAAGCCCACTCCATTGCATTGCCATCTGGCTTATTTCAAGCTCTGTATGCAAAAAGAGGAAGAAGGGGGTGAACACAGAGGAGTGGGCAAGTGGATGGCCAGCAAGGATGTGTTATGCACACTTGTGTCTCCGGCCAGGCTGCTGCTGCTGCTCCCCCTACTCAAATGACTAAGGAGATTGCTTAAATGCGCTCGACACACGATCCCTGAACTTCCGAAAAGCACTTAATTCAGTGGCTCATGAAATCTTAATCTAAAAACGTTCATCCATTTATAATCAAGCTGAATCACACTGACAACTGGGGAGGGAGGCTGGGTGGAAAGAATGCGAGTTTTGGAAGGCCACCATGCAGATTGGGATCCCAGGGACTTCGGTCTACCACTTTGAGAGATTCACTTTTACTCCCTTTAAAGGTGACAGAAACACTGGTGTCTCAGAAGAGTGCAATTACAAGGTGGGAACTAACAGAGTAACCACACTATCGGATTCAATACATAAAAAAAAAATGTGATGCAACTAAGAAACACATGTTAAAATGTAGACTGTGCTTTTAAGAGTGAAAAATATTGGGTGGTGGATATGAAGGAAAGCTACGCCAAAAGGCAACAACATGCTCTTCAGCAAATCCATTATGGTCACCACGTGCCAGGCACTGTTCTCTTGGTCCCAATAGTGCATATTTCTCCAATCTCTTAACCAAAGTACTAGCATCTTTCCTTGCCTTAGTGGTGAGGAGATGAGCACAGAGAGGTTGATTTATCTGCTGCAAGTTACACAGCTAAGATAAAGCAGGACTAAGATTCAAACCCAGGCACTTAGATGCCAAAGCCTGAGCTTCTAACTTCTCTGAGCTTAAATAGAGAAGGAGAACTAGGCTGGGAGTAGAATTCAAGTCATGTCCTGGCTAGACCTGGTGTGAAGAGATCAACTCTTCTTAGTCATGACTCTGTGATGACCAGCCAGCCTTGTGACCATCCAGGCCTTATGTTTCTTCATCCATCCATTTGGGGGATGAATCAGATAAGCTTCAACCTTATGGCTTCAAAATATCGTTAGGTTCATGCTGATCATTAGCAGCACCGGACTGGCCTGCTTTCTGGCTGGCTACCCGAAGCTTCATTTATCCTCACGTGGGTGAGGCGGGTTACAATTATTTCATCTGCTTCCTGACCTTCAGAAGATTATGTCCTTTCTATTCAGGCAAATGAGGGGAGGCAGTGGAGAAGAAATGCGCTCTGCTTAATGTGGTTGTAACCCAATGGCCCTTGAAAAGCTCTGGGCACAGATCACGTTGACTTTGCCAACCCTGCAATCTCTCCAGAGCCTGTTCTTGGAACCTGCCTCTGGGCCAGGTAAAACTTGACAAGCTGGAGGTGGAAGCACCAAAACAGAGAAAGAGTAACCCCAACTGAGCCCTTAAATGAACCACTTGATTAATTCATCTTTTGGTCTAATCTATTCCGTTTGCATGCAGGCATGCCTACACGCACATGAGAGCAAAAATCATTATGGTCGAACTTGACACCCGCTTGGAATCTAGTGGATTCCGGTAAGTGTCCCCCCTCAATCTAGTCAACAAATGTTGCCCAGAGTGCATTGGTGGATGGAGAAGGGCCTTACAGATGGATAATACAATCTTCCCCTTCCTAAGCATCCCAGACAGGTGGCTGTCATCTGGCTTCTGCCTAGGCACTTCCACGGTCGACGTTTTAGCTGCCTGGACTGGCAGGCAGCCCAGGGTGCTGCTGGACAGATAGTGCTGTGGGGAAAGCCCACGAAGCACCTAGAACGCTTGCCCCACAAGCTCAATAAAGTAGGTCAAAAATTGCTTCCCTAGAACTTGGACCCATCGGTCATAGGTGAGCCTCGGGAATCCCAAAATGCAGAGGCCCATCGAATACCCCGGGCTTGTAGTTGGGCCCTTTCAGGTTTCCAGCATCCTGCTTCCTCTTCCCCGATTCTGGCCCGGCAGATACCTTCCCGGACCAAAGAGTGAGCATCCATGGGGTACAGGGGATGGCAACCAGGAGGCCTCCGTCGGCCTTGTCCCCAACCTCGGTTCTTCGAGCAGGAGAGGACAAAGGACCTTTAGGAAGGCGTATCCCACCCGTGGTTTGGGCTGCCCCGTCATTAGACAAGCTGGTCCTCCGGACCCCCGCAGTGCCAGGTGACAGTCCCCAAACAGTCCCCACGGATTCGGAGCACACAGGCTGCGGCGCGATGGGCCGAGCCACGCTGGGGACCCCGGGACTCGGGGTTCTGGCCCGACGCCTCTGGGGCGCGATCCGGGCTTGGTGGAACTCGCCCAGCCGAGGTTTTACCTGCGCTCGTTGACTCCAGCGGTCCAGCTCGCCCGGAGTCCGGTTCCCGCAGCTCCGCGGCTGCCGGCTGCGCTCATAGAAATACAGCCGGAACCCCTGGCCAGCGCAGCTCCCGCCGCTACCGGCCCCGCCCAGGCAACTGCCGCCACGCCCCTGACGACCGCCTCTGCTACGCCCCCAAGCCAGGGTACCCCAATGCTTATTGGACAGCCCAGCCGCCATTCTATTTGCTCAGAGCGCTTATTGCGTCTGGTTGGCAGCCCATTGGCCGGTGGGGCTGCTCCTCAGGGTAGAGGCGGAGAGTCTAAGCAGACAGTTCTTCTACTATTGGTTACTTTTGACGTCTTTGGCCAGTGGGCCAAGATGCTATTGGGTAAGGCCCGCCCCGAGGGGCGGGGTAGGGAGAGCCGGCTAAATAATGGGTTGTGTTTGATGGTTGATACGGAATGATGTGATAGGAGAGGGCCAATTGTGATGGCTTTCTGAGTTCTGGGGAGGAAAAGTCTGGAATCCCATGGAGATGAATGGGGGAAAGACAGAGCTCAGCTATGAGGTTCTCAGCCCTGATGTTTCCAGGAGGACAGACCTCTGTAGCTCAGGACACAGGTGATGAGACGTGGAGTCCTAACTTTGAAGAGCAGAGGTGGTGAGTCACCAAGCCAGAAAGCGACAAAGAGGTGGAGGCTGCGGCTTCTGACTTCTTTCAGCTAGGGAAGTGGGTGGGAACATGCAGGGCTTTATAGACCTGTTAGTGTCCCTCTGTTCTTTCAGCCTTCAAACAACCCCTGTGGGTTGGAGGCCTCTTGGAGGAAGGTAACCTTTGAAGTCAGACTGAGGCCTTGGCCATACGGTTTTAGCACTTCAGCGTTCTCGCTGATTTCACTTGTTAAGTACTGGTAGCTGATGAGTAGATGAGCGTGAACAGAGCCTGACGGTTATCAGTCCACAGGCATTCATCAAGGCGCTCTGTTCACCACTCACCTTCTCCATCCATGCGACCAGGCCCATGCTGCCGGAGGCTGCACATGCAATGGCTTGCTCTTGACTAAGAATAGAACACTGATGACTTGAAAAGCAAACTCCAGCAGGGCAGCCAGGGGCACACTGTCCAGGCGCAGGAGGGCTGCAAGGGAGGAGAAATGGAAGAACCACATAGCCAGAGGTAGGAATTTGTATCTGAAGCAATGCTAAATTTTCCCTAACACATGTCAGGATTGTGACCAGGAAATTATGAACCAACTTAAGGAATGGGAGCGAGCTGGTGGCTCGTGTCTGTTATTCTAGTAGAAGGCCGAGACGGGAGGATTGCTCTAAGT